GCGCTCATCTTCCAGATTTTCAAATTTGGTGCTCAATAGGTACAGTATATAAGTAACTGCATCCGTTGGCTGTCCATTGACAGTTACACCATAGTTGATGATCTGGGAGGGGACCTGCATGGCGATACGACGAGCAAGACCTTGAAGGCCTCGTTGTAGCGCTGCAGCTTGTTGTGGTGGCGTCATATTGCCGCTCGTTACGTTTATCCATGCATGTACTTCGCGAACGTATTCGCGAAAAGGCGTAGTACCGGCAGGGTCCCATGAAGGGCCAGTAGTACGCGTGTCGTCCATTCCCTGCCGCATGTATCCCACAGCACATCCCATTATTACCCACAAAATGCCGAAGATAGTTATCTTAATCCAGTGCATGTGCATTTCGGCTTCGGTGATTGGTTTAGGCTGTGGTTTGTCAGGCTCTGGCGTAGTAGCCGTGAGGCGCCTGACTGGCAAGGGATGCAGGTGGCCCCGCTGCGGGTAGCCCCGCAGGGTGACCACGTTCTCGATCGAGTTGCCGATTGGCATCTGGTGGAAGTCGAGAGTGAAGTAGCGCAGTGAAGTAGGAGAGAGCGTCTCGAGCTCGCGGGTTGCCCCGCTAGCTCGATCGCGGACTGGCTCCGCTCCTCGCAGAGCCGGCGCAACATGGTATTCCCCCGTAGTAGTAGTCCACCAAGTTGTGCCGTGGATTACAGGAATCAGAGCGAGAGCCAGCCACACGAGAGTGTAGCCAGCTCCGCTACCAAGTCGAAAACAAGCTGGTAAGCGTAGGTCTGTGTTACGCTTTAAGCGTTGCCATATCCCAGGCTTTGGCTCATATCGCATGAGCAAGAGAGCGAGACGAACAATGGGTCTGGTGAGTAAAGGATCGCAGGGGCATCTTCAATGGAAAATGTATTTTCCGATCTCAGATACAAGTCGTGCGCCTCGGTGAGGCACAGTCATATATGGTAAGCTTAGGTATGTGTTACGCTTCAAGCGTTGCCATATCCCAGGCTTTGGCTCATATCGCATGAGCAAGAGAGCGAGACGAAACATGGGATCTGGAGTAAAGGATAGAAGGGGCATCTTCAATGGAAAATGTATTTTCCGATCTCAGATACAAGTCGTGCGCCTCGGTGAGGCACAGTCATATATTAGGCCGGGCCCGGCTTGAGCCAGGCACGGCAGCGGTGCATGCTCGATATATACCTCGCCTTTAACCTTCTCCGTTTAAAGTCAATGGTGAAATGCTACAGGGTGGGGGGACCACGCACGGCCGAGACGTTCAAAACTATTTGACGACATCCTGCAGGAGAGCGCACCTACCCTGGGAAAGTGGAGCAAATCTTCTATCACGGTGATTTCCAAGGATGGCGACGTGCGCTTCCCTTCAAATTACAAGAGCGGATAGCCATCATCCCATTGGTGTGCGAGCTGTTTGGCTGTCTGTTTCCCAAGCGTCCCACCCCAATACTGGAGAGCGCAATGTCCCGACCAAACAGGATTCCGATCGGGATTTGGAGTGAAAGACCATTCGTAGGCTTTCGTACGATTGCACGAGGAATGTGACGAATTGGGGCAGCCGCTGTGCATCGCATCATCTTGCAAGAAAGCTTTCGACAGCCGCTCACACGAAACATAAGATCTGCCTTGCTGGAGCAGAAGGCTCCTGCATTGTACGTTTATTTTCTGCCGAGATTATACAAAGGCCAGGCAGGGCCGGTGTACCTTGACAGAGCAGCCGGTGCTTCCCGATCTCGCGAAGAACAAAACAGGGGGACACGTTAAACCATGCTCTTCTTAGTTCTCTACTTCGATATATGGTTGGGCTGCACCGCGCGAAATGAGAAACCGCTGGGCTCGGTTTTATGCTTGGGCACGCCCGACTGATAAATCTCCGGTTCGCCGACGACGTCTTGCTGGTGAGCTCAAGACATCGAAACCATTCTGACAGACGTGGCAAACGAGTGTGCAACCGATGGGCTGACCTTTCACCCAGGAAACAAAAACAAAGGTGATGACGAACGTTCGGGTGAGACGTAGTGAGGCCGCGCAGCATCCCATCGATGTCGCAAGCATGCAGATTAAGCTGATCAAGAGATCTATCTCGACAAAGAATTTGGGGCGCAAGATATCAGTTCAATACGACAATCCTACAGAGATTGACAATCGCATGCAAGCTGCCTGGAGGAAGTTCCACGTTTCTACCAGCGAGCTCACAAACAACACCTACACGCTGCGGGCCAGGCTGCGCTTGCTCGAGAGCGTCATCATACGGTGCGCCCTCTACGGTTCCTCCTGCTTGTAGCCGAGAGCGGACATGGAGCGCGCTTTGCTGAAGACGGAGTGGCAGATGCTGCGGATGGTGATCGGGTCAGGACGGCGCAGCAGGAAAATATGGATTATTCCAGCAGCGATGCCGATCAAGATGTAGGCATGGACGACGAGAACGACGATGTGGAAACTTGGGTTGAATGGCTGACACGAGCCGCCCGGGCTATTGAGAAGCAATTGGAACATCTGCATCTTGAAAACTGGGTTGACCAGACCAAGCGAAACACTTTTTTGGCCTGCGGGGCGAGAGCGAACCTCTTCCGGTAAAAGCTAGGCGGGCTACGCACAGCTCTAATTGGGGAGACAGGGCACAGGCGGGCGGAGCCTCAGGCGGCCGGAGGGCGGGCCGGGGTGCAGGCGGTGCCGAGGAGCTTGCACAGGAAGGAACGCCGTGGACAGGAGCCGGAGGCGAAGATCCGGAGGGTGAGCGGTGTGGTGTTCGGACCAGGCGAAACACATAGAGACAAGCTTTGAAGTCAGTGGAAAAAATACGTCCAAACGGTCTTTCAGAGCATTGGCAGGGGACCCGGCACGGATGCAGAAGAATGCGGAAGAAACGGGACCGCATCGGAAGACCATCGAGGAAATGGGAACATGATCTCAATGTGATGTAGAAGCGTTCTTTTGGCGATTTCAGCGACGGATCTTGGAGAGATATCGCCGAGATTCCTGACGCATGGTCCGCTCTGGAGGGTAATTCCAAGATCTTCCGGCGCTGGTAAGCACGCCTCATGTCTAACCCGCCGCTTGGTATGGGGCACACCACGCCGCTGTGGCATGCCGCTCACCCCTGGACCAGGGCCAGCCTTCATGACTCGAGTCGGGTCGAGTATGGAAAACCACTGAATGTTGCCACTTCGGGCTCTCTCGGGGAGCTCCTTGGAAACTTGTTGGAGCGACTGGGGGGTGTTGTGGGCCGTCTGGAAACCTTCGTGGAGCGCCTTGGGAGAAGGGTGGGCTATCTGGAGGCGACCACAGGCATCTGGAAGTCATTTTCTGGCGACTTGGGGGCGATTCGGTGTATTTTCAGAATGACCTGGAGGTGCCTTGGAGCGGTTGTCGGACCTCTTGGGCAATGAAGGTGCCCTCGGGGGGAGCCTGTGGAACCGTCTTGTGGTGGGAATTGGTGCTTCTGGGGCTGGTTTGGGGCGTTGGCGAGCGGAAGAGGCGGGCGGGTGCCCAAAAAACATGGAACAAAGACATATGGAAAGCCAATGAATTGTGCCTCTTGGATTCCTCTTGGAGCGTCTGGGTGGCGTTTTGGGCCGTCTGGACGCCTTCGTGGAGCGCCTTGGGAGCGTTGCGGGCCACCTGAAGCCGACCAACAGCGTCTGGGAGTGACATTTCGGCCACTTGCGGGCAACTCGGGGCTCCCTGGGCGGCTCTGAAGCACCTCTAGGGCACCCGGACCCACCATGCGCTGTCGGGCACAGGGCCCCAGCCCCCCAGGCCTCGTAGACGGGCATCATCAGATGTATATGTATATGCATGTGTATGTGTATATGTGAGAGAGCGTGATCCACCGCCGCTTTACTGTGAAAAATTGCTTCCTTTTTCCTCCGGAACCCGGGGGTCCCCTCCCCGTCCGAAAATCCCCTCCCCCCTCCCTGCCCCCCCTCCCCCTCCCCACCTCTCCCCCGGCAACCCCCCCCCCCCCTCCCCCCCCCCCCCCTCCGAACCCGGAGGGGGTCACTACTGCGAACCCCTCCCGCACAGACGCAAACGACTCCCGTCCCTACCGTCCTCACCACATCCCCCACTGTTGTTCCCAGCGCCACTGTCCTCACCACCACTGTCCCCACTGGTTCCACCACCGCCCCTACTGTCCCCACCAGTGCCACCACCACTGTCGCACTGTCCCCACTGTCCCCACCACTGTTCCCACCACGGTTCCACTCTCCCAACTTTCTCCACGGCCCCAACCACTGCCCGACTATCCCCACTGTCCCCACTGTCCCACTGACTCCTCCGCTGTCCCACTGAGCTGTCCCACTGTTCCCACCACTGTCCCCACTGTCCCCACCACTGTCCCCACTGTACCTCTGTCCCATTGTCCCACCGCCGTCCTCGCCACCGCCTTCACCACTGTCCCCACCACCACTGTACCCTCCACTGTCCTACTGTTTCCACCACATTCCCACTGTCCCCACACCACTGTCCCCACCACCACCGTCCCCACCACTGTCCCACTGTCCCCACTGTTCCCACTATTGTCCTCACCATTGTCCCCACCACTACCGTCCCCACCACTGTCCCACTGTCCCCACCACTGTCCCGCTGTCCTCTCACCACTGTCCCCACCACCACCGTCCCCACCACTGTCCGCACCCCCCCTCGGTTTTCGAGGGGGGTGGGGTTCGAACCGGTAATGACCCCCCCCGGTTGTCGAGTTCGAAGGGGGGGGGGGGGGTTCGAACCGGTAGTGAACCCCCCCTTTTCATGATGAATTGGGGGGGGGGAGGGGTTCGAACCGGTAGTGACCCCCCCTCGGTTTTCCGCCAGCAGCGGTAGAACACGCTCTTTCGTATATGTATATGTATGTGTATATGTATATGCATATGTATATGTATATGTGTATATGTAAACATCGCCGCATACGTACAAGTGTATTTATAGGTGTGTATGTGTATGTAGATGTACATGACTATGTATATGTATACCCATGTATATATATATATATATGCATACCTGTTTCTTCTGGTTTCGCTGGGCGTATCCTCGCCTAGGAGGATGGGCGGGTAGGGCTGAGACACCATGGCCCAATAGGAATGGGAATAGGCTAGACGATGCCGAAACTCCACACTCGGAGCTCGGCATCCGTGACAAGACTCCATCGTGGAAACCACTGCCGCGAGCGTGCAGCACTCGTGGCAAGCTGCATGCCGCTGTGGCCCACTTGCGGACTCGAGAGATATAAACTCGAGCGGCGGTCGAACATCGCAGGAACAAAACGTGGCACTGAGAGGCCCAGCCGCCGTCCCGGGAGGAGGGCGAGGATGAATCACGTTTCGGGTGTTTCCAGGGGTGGTCCTGACCAAAGGTGGCCCCAACTTTCCCGGGAAGGCGCAGATGCCTTCCAGGGCACCCCTCAAGAGGCCCAGGGCCCCGGAGGCGGGAAGACGGCGCGAAAAGCTGGGGACACATTGAGACGCGACCACTTCTAGCACCACCCGAATGTTCCTGCCCAAGGGCAGCCTGCGCGGGCACGTCTATGATCCTCAACTTCCAATCCTGGCCCCCAGGCCCGGTCCGGAACATGGCCGCCACCACGTCCACAGAAGCCTTGCTCCGCTCCATCTCGAAGAGCGCGATCTCGTTGGTCTGCTTCTCCTCCAGCACGTGCAGCCTGCCGTTGGAGACGTCCTGCAGGTTGCCGCCAGAGTAGGCGGCCACCACGAAGACAAGCAAGCTCACGTTCTGCTGCACCTTCCGCATGTTCACCCAAACCATCTCCTCGATGTTGTCCGGCTTGCCCTGTGCCTCGTCGCCCGAGTGGGTGATAGCTCCGGCCGCCTGGTGCTACATGTTTGGACTACGGTTTGGCTGCATGTTGCCACCGGGATGGATGGCCCGAACTATTCTCGGAGATCGGGGAGGGAATCACAAGGAGTGGTGACGGTAAGACAGACGACTGAAAGAGATGACTATCGCTACACGTGCACGGGAACGTCTGGTGCAGTCCATGCCCAACGGTGTAATGGTCACCTTTGCTACCGCATCATGCTCGGGAAAACCGAGTTACACGATCACTACTGTGCAATCATCTCTGGCACTCCCACAGTCGTATCACTTTCGGTACAGCCAACTTTTGCACAACACCTCACATGTGTTCCGTAGCCATGTTGGCTCAAGGCCACGGAGTGTCCGACGACCGCAAGTCGTCCGCGGCGCTTTGAGCGCGAGGACCTCCTCGCTGTGAGCCAGGTTCATTTTTGCTTTGTGCTCCCGCGGCCAGTGGGCCATCGAGGGCGCGCGCGCGGCGGGCCGGCCCGATGGCGCCTCGCGGCGGCGCGCGTGGCAGAATGCAGTGCGGCCAGCTGCCGCCGGTGGAGCTGGAGCTGGCGCACCACTGCACCACGTGCCTCGGCGCAAGGCCAGAGCCCCACCGTGGGTCAAGGCAGGAGGCAGGGCGGCGGAGGACCAGAAGCCTCCACCACCCAAGGCCGACGACGCTGGGTGGGTGGAGCAGCCCCGCGGGCGGCAGGGGCAGAGGCGTGCGCGCGGGGCAGCTCCGGCTTCGCAGGCTCCGGCGGCCGGTGCGGCGGCGGGCGCAGGTGAGGCCAGCGATGGCCCAGCCGGCGGTGCCGCCCAGCCAGCGAGCCAGGTCGAGGTATACCTCGAGACCGTGCGCACCTTGGAGGAGTGGCTCCAGCACCCGCCCCTTGGGGTCTCCGCCGACTTCGTGGCCCAGATCGGCGGCCAGCTGGAGTGTGCACGCACCGAGCAGGAGAAGGCAAAGGCAGCCGAAGCGCAGGCAAAGGCGGCCAGCCTCTCCAGAGCAGCCCGGATGCACCGCGACGCCAACGTCGTGGGCAAGGCGGAGCGCAAGCTCGCGGCAGTCCGCAAGGCGCTGGAGGAGAAGAATCAGGCCGTGCAGGAGGCCGAGGACCGGGTCGAGAAGGCGCACGAGGAGCTCGCCCAGCTGTCAGTGGAGCGCGACGAGACTGAAGCTCGGCTCCGCGAGCTCGAGGACGAAGCTCAAGCGGCAGCTGAGGAGGAGGAGCGCTGCAAGGCGGCAGCAGTGGTCGAGAACAGCCCCGCGCCAGGGCTCCTCTTCCGGCTCGACCACCTGGAGGACGCATGTGGCGCTCGGGCAACTTCCCAACAGCCTGGGTCGGGGTGCGCAGGCAGATGGGCGCCGTGCGCCCACAGATGCGCGGGATGCGGACCCCGAGCCTGCCGCCAGCCCCCCGCGCCGGCCCTGGGCAGAGAGGCTGCCCCATGGACGGGGTCGACGCCGAGTCCAAGGAGGGGGCGGCAAGCCCCTGGGAGCCCCCGCCGGCAGCGGAGCGCGGGCCGGCCGCGCGGCGCCTGCGACGCTGCGGGCCCGTGGGCGGCCGGTCCAGTGCAGTCCTGCGGCGGCAACTGGCTGATGCGGCTGATGTGCTTCCTCTTGCTGCTACGGCAGGTTCGTGTAGTGCCGACCCCAGCGTTGGTTTTTGACACCGCAGGGATCGTTCAACCTTGAACGATCGGCCGCTGCCGCAACGTCCGATCGTTCAACATCGATCGATTCTGGGTCGCCGGCGGCGTTCAACCTTGAACGTCCGCGCTGGGGTCGCCGCTGGTCGACACGACGCGAACCTACCGTAGCCAGTCCGTGGATGGCGGCGGGGGGTCAGGAATGCCCAGACTTTGACGAACAGGTCGGGCCGCCTGGCGAAACGGCCACATCGACGTCGCCAGCTCCTAGCTGCGGGGGAGCCCAGCGGGCCATGCACGCGAGAGGAGCGAGGCTTTCCCAGCCTTGCTGAAGGCGCTGGGGCGGTCGCCGAGGAGGCCGCGCTGGGACAAGGAGGCCAAACAGGTGTTAACAAATCGTTCCCCCCCCCTGGCGCCTCCGGAGGCAGCCTCCGTCTGCGCGCGGGCCACGGGCGTCGGGGACAAGCTGACTCCCCGCCCTGCGTTGTCGCTGGCACTTGGCATTTATGGCCAAGCCGACCCTGCTGGTGCGCCGGCGAACCAGCCCAGCAGCCAGGAGTCGCAGGCCCCAGAGCCGTCGGAGCTTCCGATTGCGACGCTGAACGGCGACACATGGGCTAAGGCCGAGGAGGGCCTGATGTGGCTGGCGGACCAAGGGCTTAGGCCGCATGTCGCCCTGGTCCAGGAGACGAGGTTCGTCTCGGAGTCGGCGCAATTGACGGCCAGAAGTTGGACTTCGACCTTCGGGGCCAAGCTGGCGAGAGGCCCCGTGGTTCGCACGGGCGAGGCCGCGAACGCCGTGTCGGCGGGAGTGGCCATGGTCGTGGTCAACTCGCTCGGCTTCACGCGGCAAGCGATGAGCCCAGGCTGCGATGCTGCCCGCGTGCCGGTGCGCAGGATTGCGCTGAGCGGGTTCCAGGTGCTGTTCGTCTCGGTCTACCTCACATGCTCGATGGGCGTGCAGGGCGCCAACCTGGAGCTGTTGGAGGAGCTGCAGAGATGGCTCCAGGAGCAGCCGTGGCCATTCATCATCGGCGGGGACTGGAATGTCACGCCCGAGGCCCTGGCGGAGAGCGGTTGGATCCGGGGTCTGGATGGTGTTGCGCTGGTACCCCTGCTGCCGACGTGCAAGGGCAAGGTCTATGACTTCTTCGTGGTGCTGGCCAGCTGCGGCTACGAGGTGACCGTGCTCCCCGCCTCGCCCCTGCGAGTGCACCACATTGTGACGCTGAGGCTTAAGAGGCTCACGCCGAGGAGGCATATTCAGGTGGCCAGGATGCCACGTGCGTTCGACCTGGACGCCGAGCTGGACCAAAATGGCATCGCCGCAGGCGCCAGCCTCACGTACCGGCTGGTCTGGCAGGTGGCGGTTGGCTGCTCCGGAGCCTCGGTGGAGGACGCCATGAAGGAGTGGTTCACCAAAGCGGAGGCGGTGCTGTGAGCCCGTCGGGGCTTCCGCGGGCGAGTGGCTGCTGGCCATTCTGGGCGCGCTCGCGGCTACGTACTGGTGCAGGTACCGTTGGCTTCGGCGGTCTCTGCACACCTGCGGCGGCGTGCAGGCCCGAACACGATCCGCTGGGACTGCATAGCCTCGCTCGTTCGGAGCCTCTGGGACGCGGGGGCCACGGGCCCCGCAGGGCCCGGCAGCGCGCAGACGGCCTGCGGGACGGTGCTGCGGTCCCGCCTGGAGGAGGCCTTCGCCGAGCTCGAGCAGCAGGAGCAGGGCAATTTCACTCGCTCCCAGGCGCGCCCCTTGGCGGACGCCTTGCTGGAGCGCGGGCCCGAGGGCGCGTGGTTCATGGATGCTCTGGAGGTCATCTTGAGACCCCGGCGTGGGGATGCGCAGCGTCGTAGTCAGGAGCGGAAAGCCTTCGTCGAGGATGCCTTCGCTGGAGGGGCCCGGGGGGCGCATCAGGTGCTCAAGGCTCGGCCCGCGGAAGGGGTCGCTATCCTCGACGATGCCGCGGCTGAGGAGGTGGCAGAGCTGTTGGTCGGTCAGGAGGCGATCGATCGTCTGCTCCGGGACTAGCTGCCGCTCTGGGTCGATGACGGCCGTTGTGGAGAGAGCCATCCTCTGTCTTGGAAGGCAGTCTGGTCCTTGCCCGACATCACAGGGGACCAAGTCATGGGGGTCATCGTTTTTTTCGCGAAAGGCGCTAGATTGGGATGAGACGGCATGCATCCTAGGCTCCTCCACGAGCTGGGGATGCCATTCGCCAACCGCATGGCGGCCATCCTCCCGGCCTGGGAGCGGGACCCGATTATGTCGGAGATGCTGCTGCGCCTCACGGTGTTCATCCCAAAGGCAGACGGCGGGAAGCGGCCGATCGGCCTCACGGCCATGCTTGCCCGCGTCTGGTCGAGGATCCGGCGTCGATGCTGCAAGGATTGGGAGACGGCGCAAGACTGCCCGATGATATGGGGCAAAGACGCGACAACCGGCTGCGACCGCGCCGCCTGGCTGCACAACGCGCTGGTGCAGCCAGCATGCGCAGAGCCGGGGCATGGAGGCGGGCGGGGTCTATGCAGACATCTCCAAGTTCTGCGAGGGGGTCAGCCACGAGCAGCCGGCGGACGCTGCGCGCTCGGTCGACTTTGACGTGGGCCTTTTGCGCGCGCTGTGCTGCCTCTACCATGGACCGCGGCGCCCAAAGGTAGAGGCCGTTGTGGGCAGCTTGGTCAGCCCCAACGGGACCATCATTGCGGGCTGCAGCTGTGCGACTGCGCTGGCCAAAGTCGGGCTGATTGCCACGCTCCGCAGCACGGCAGCGGCATGCCCGATTGGCCGGGTTATCAACGCCATCGACCTGCACGTCGTCGGCGGGTGGCCACTGCGGGGCGCCAGGTGGCCAGGGGGGCCAAAGCCTTGGTCCAGGGGCTGCAGGCCGCCAGGCTGCCCATCAACTGGAAGGAGACGGTCGCGCTGGCCACGCCGGCGCGGAAGGCCGAATCGATCGGCCACCCCGACTGGCCGCTGGCAGCCAGAGCCTTCGTGCAGGCCCACAGGGACCTCGGAGGGGACGCCACTGCCGGCTCTTACACCGCCGCGTGGCAGCGCAGCTGGAGCGTGAAGCGGCGGCGCTGGAGCAGCCTGCGACAGGGCGCCGCGTCCTCCGCCCAGGCCGGCGCCTCGCCCGAGCGTGCCCAGGGCGGGCCCCACGGCCAAGGCCAGCTGGGGGGCTGCCATCACAGGGGCCCCCGATGCCAGGCTGCGCACGCTGCGCTCGTCGGCGGTGCCGCGCGGCCAGCTCGGTGCCAACCGGGGCGTCGCTGGAGTTCGCCAGCTTTTGCTCTCGGGCCGCGGAGGGAGGCAGGACCCGCTCGTGCTCGACCTGGCCGCTCGGGCCCGCCTTCCCGACCCGCCCGCGAGGGTCTGCTCGCCCCATCTGCCCGTCTGGTTCTGCCACGCGTTTTCTGCTCACAGCCCCCCCCTCCTGTCCTCTCGTGCTCCATCCTGCTCCCTCCCCCGTCCATCCGCCCTCTCTTCCGAAGTTTTGGGGGCCGCGCTACATGCACGCGGCCGGTAAGGAAGATATTCTCTGCAAGGGGGCACGATCGAAGACGAAGAGGGCGGGTACGGAAGGTTCGGGATATACATGGTGAATGGCACGCGAGCAGATTGGAGCGCGGGGCCACCAGGCTGCGAGGGTGAGGATTGCAGCTCCCTGTGCCGGTTGAAGTTTCCAATTTTCACTGTAACAGTCCTGCTTTCTGCTTCCTTACTGTTAATTGTTGCTGAACGCGCAAGGGGAGGGAGCCCCAAACCAGCTTTTTCACCACGCCCAAATCGCGTTGTCTGAATTCCTGGGGGGCGTGGGACGCATAAGAATACATGATGTTCGCGTTCCCGAGGTCATAATCCTGAGTAAATTACACCATACACGAGTCCCCGAGGCCATACACCTCTGCAACTTACACCATAATCGCGTCCCCGAAGCCATCATCCTTTGTAAGTTCACCACAGCTGCGTCCCCGGAACCATCAACCTTCGCAGCGTATGCAATATTCGCGCCCCCAAGGCCATAAACCTTTTGGTACACTACTGCGCATTCGCCATAAGCATCTACACAATATGCGCGTCCCCGAAGCCATAAGCCCTCGTAGATTACGCCGTGCCTGCGTGCCCCGAGGCCACACACCCTCGCAAAGCACACCACGTTCGCGTTCCCGAGGCCATAATCCCTTGCAAATACGCGATATTTGCGTTTCCGAGGCTATGAGCCTTCGTAAACAGCACGATCGTTGCGCCCCCGAGGCCACATACCCTCGTAAAATTACGCGCCGATCGCGTCCCCGAAGGCATGCACCATCGTAAGTAACACTACGTTCGCGCCACCGAAGCCATAATCCCACGAAACTTAAGGTTGGCCCTCGCGTGAAGTCCCGACATTGCTTCACGTCAGCGTCCAGACATCCCAACTCAGCTCTGGCGAGTCCCATTCTAAGAGAGGGGGGCTGGCGGCATGGGGACGAAGCCCTTACGGATATGCATGGGTACGTATGTACACGTGTATTCGTAATCGGACCGGTGCACGAGCACATACACATGCTTGTGTCAAGCTATATGGATCTACGCTTCCAAAGCTCCTGAATTCTCCTGGGAGGCCAAATGAGCCATAGACCGCCAGAAGAATTCAGTCAGCTCCTCAAGACGGCGCAAGGGAACTTCCATCCAGCATACCCCTAAGCGATGTGTGCCCAAAGTGCCCCCGAAGACCCTCAGCACCGACCCTCGTCGACGCCATACCCACGAACAGCCGCCGATCGCACAATTCACAAACTGCCACATATTCCAGTGGGCCCCTGGGGCAACTCAAAAGTCCAACTTTTCCGCGGAGCACTGGCTAGAAGCCAACTTCCTTATCAGATGTAGGCACCGTGCTGGCCGAGACCCCGCTTCTTCGAACAAAACATACGTTTGCTCTGGCACTGGAGCCCCCTGGAGAGATCCCGATGGAGCGCCGCACCCCATCCAGACCTGATGCGCTCCCCTTCTCGACCACTTCCAGTGCAACCTGCCGCCCGCGGAAGAGGGCACGCACTTCGACGGCCCACCTTCAGGTTGTTGTAATAGGCGCAATCCACGATGGCGCCCCCCCGGTCCACCACCACGCACTGCAGGTCGATGTCCACGGACCGGCCGCGCACGGTGTCCCAGGACACGCCGAAGCCGTAACGGCCCTTCGGGAGGTCGAGGTCCTCTCGGAAACAAAGACAAACACAAAAAAACGCAGAAGGGGAGGAGGGAGGGGGCGAGGGAGGATGGAGGGATAGCTGGGAGCATGAGGAAACAAAACGCAGAATGGGAGGATGGAGGGGGCGAGCGAGGAGCACCCGGGACTATGGAGGAGGCGGGTGGTGCGGATGATGCGGGAGCAGGGTCAGGAGCCCGGAGCCCGGGGGCAGACGCTGCCTCGAGCTCCTCTCGCAGGCCGCCTCCGCGTGCCTCGGCGTGCTGGCCCTGCAGCTCGCGCGCGTGCAGTGCGCACCGAGAGCCAGGCGCAAAAGAGGCCGCGAGGCAGCGCCGCCGCCCCGGTCGAGAGGGGTGAGGGCCGACGCTCCACGGTGCAGCGCTGTCAGGCGGCGAGCCAGGGGGGGAAGCGAGAAGGGGCGTGCCTTCTCGGAGGGCTCGGAAGTCCCCCGGACTTTCGAGAAGCTTTCTATAAGCCTTCCCCGAAGACAGACAAAGACTTCTAAGAAGGCGCGAGGGCTTCTGAGAAGTCCCGCCGCCGTCTGAGAAGGCCTTCTCCTCCTCAATTCCCCCCCTCGCTCGCCGCCGAGCTGTGTCGCGCAGCCCTCATACGGCGACCCACGGGCGGTGTCGCGCCACATCACCAGCTGGGGCGTCGACTGCACGCGACGTCTGGGCACCAGCTGGCAGCATGATGCGCCCTCCAGGGGTCCAGGCTTGCCAGACTCCGCTGTTCAGGCGGCCTCTGGCCGTCCGCTGCCTCGGTCTCGGCAGTGTTCCTCTCCTCGCTCCCCTCGCCGTTGCCGTTGCTCTCCTCCTGCTCCCTCCCCCCGAAGCCGCCCGCATTCTTCCTTCCCACCCTGAAGAGCTGACTCTCACCACCACCCTGTCGCTGGCCGATGGTTGCGAGGGCGTCGATATCCGGACAAGCCCGCCCGCAGCTGCAGGGCTTCAAGGAGGACCTTACTCTTCCTACTCCTCCTCTTCCTCATCCTCCCTCACCTCCGGGCCCAGGGCAGCGGATCTGCTCCAGACCCTACGCCTCGGAGTGCGAGGTCCACGTCCTCTGGCTGGCGATCGCCTAGCCCTCGCCCCTCCCCCGGCCCAGTCATCCTCTCCGTATGTTCCTCCTGCTTTTCCTCTGTTGTTACTGGCGTGAAGGAAGCGGGCACTGAGGGAAACGAGTCCTGGAACGCGGGGCCTGCACCAGCAGGCGGCCCGAAAACGGCGAAAAGCATTGGTACCCCTTGTCCTCAGGAGGACCCCTTTCCTTCATGGCTATCCTGCTTCTCCACCTCGCCCCCCACCCCCCCGATCCTCGGGAGACGCGCGCGCGTCGGCCCGGTGCAGCACCTGCACGCCGAAGCCAGCTGCCGACATGGCGCCCCTCCGCTTAGGGTGGGGCGGCGCGCGAGCAGCGTTCCTGTGATGATGCTTGCGCTCGAACTTGAGGGACGGCGAGGGAGGAGGTCACGAGCGACGAGCATCTCCCTCCTCCCTCCTCCCTCCTCCCTCCTCCCTCCTCCCTCCTCCTCCTCCCCCTCCCCCTCCCCCTCCCATTCACCCTCCTCCTCGTTCTCCTCCTTCCTCCTCCCTCCTCCCCCCCCTCCTCCTCCTCCTCCTCCTCCTCCTCCTCCTCCTCCGCCTCCTCGCAGCCTGGGCGCCCAGGCGCGGTCCCGTGGACATGCGGTCCGATGGATGCGCTCCGCACGGGGCATCCGCGCAGGGCCGCCCTGCAACCCGCGGGAGTCGCGGCCGAAGAGTCCAAACCGCGAGGCTGCGAACGTCGGTCGATCGTTTTTTTTTTTTTTTTTTCTGCGCCACGGCAATGCGCAGAAGAAATCAGAAAACGGTGCCAGCGCGCGCGCGCTCCCCCCACGCAGACCAGCCTCGGACGAACGTCGGTCGATCGTGAATCTTGATCACATGCTTCCCGCCGGCGACGACGGGAACAAGGAAAGTCGAGCAAGTCGAGATGAGGGAGGCTCCATCGACCCAGACGCTGCACAAGGTCCGGCCAGGCTGCTCCGCTCTCGTGGCCGCTTTTTTCTGCAGACGTAATTATGGGCTCAGCCGACGGCATGGCAACGAACCAGGAGGAAGAAACAGCGGCACCACCACCAGCACGAGGAGCTCGAGGGTGTCCTCCCATGGGGTTTGGCCCCCGTTTTGCGGCGCCCCGCTCGCGAGGTCTCCAGTCTCCAGCTCGGCGAGGCATCGTGGCCCTCTTCGCTGAAGATGCCCTGATGTTGTGAATCTATCTATATACAGACATGCCAATGTGTAAGACTAGCTAGATTTGTGCATGTACACACATACGTATTTGCATATACGCATATTCATGTTTCATGCATAGACAGGGGTACCTTTCAAACCTGCCATCTGTATATCGATACATGCTCTTACGTTTCTCAATATCCATGAGCCCCCCGGAGCCATCTGCAGCCCTCCAGAGTCTTCCGGAAGGGACCTCCGCGGTCAGACCCCAGGGACCTCCTGAGCGACCCCCTACAGGTAGGGGCCTCTGGATACCAGCCGTGCGAGGGACACCCCTCAAGGTAAAGGCGAGGGCGCGGCCAAGATTGTCAACCTCCTCCTCCCAACTAAAGCTGTTTAGGTGGATTATTATGCGAAGACACCGGTGGTTCCACGATACGAACTTCCGAGATCCGTGATGGAGATCGTGGTTATGCTTTGGTTTTAGCGGGACGCAGGCTCAGCCGGCTCGGGGCCTGGGGGTCCCCTTCCCCTTGGCCAGAGGCGCTTGGCCGCACTTGGATCCACCTGCCTCTCAACTGCTCGCCGACTCGCCCTCGCTGCACTTCGGGGCCCTCGTCGCCGCGGCCAGGTTCGCCTCGGAGGCCTAGTCGAAACCCGCTCGAGGACAGGTGGGGGAGTCGATCCAAAGGAGGGGGACGGAAGCGCTCACCATGAAGGGGGGGGGCCGGCCAATGGCAGGGCCGAAACTATGAGAGAAAGGCCGTCAGTCACAAAGTTGACCGGATAGGACAGTAGTGCTCGGGCAAGCGTGCGCAATCTGGTGTACGCGTGCGCGCGAGGGCGCATAAACACTACTAACGGACGCGCAAGCATTCGATCTCGCGCAACATGTTCAGCAATCGCGACGGCTTAGACCTCGATCGGCTTAGACCTCAACAGCTACCACCAACGTGTAGAAGTGCATGTAAACAAGTACGTATATACGTATACACGTGTTCATGAAGTATGTGTATCGGTAATGTGACGCACCCATGAATGTATACATATACATATGCATATGTGTACATGATAACAAGTATTGTTCCAGGGCCCACTGGGATCTACCTGTCACCGCATAATTCAATCACAAAGTTGATCACTGAAAACAACCAAAATCAAACTTAAGATCTTGAACATACGTTGGACGTGGGCAACTTCACAACTGAAGACGCATACGGAATTTCCAAATTGCAGGACATGATTCGATTTAGATATGTATTAATTCAGATTTCCCAACCATCCTGTGGTGTTGGGCCCTCGTTTTGAAATAACGGTCCCCGCGTTCTCCTCCTCCTCCTCCTCCTCCTCTTCCTCCCCCTCCTCCCTCCTCCATCACCATCGTCATCATCACCCGTTTCAACACACCCCTCACACGTTTGGTGGCCCCATAAGGAGCCCCACCGAAGGTCCCAGTGCTACCGTCCGCTTGCGTCCCCCCCACCCAGTATAACGCTTCGTGACCCCATAGGGAGCCCCACCGAAGGACCCAGTGCTACCATCCGCATGCGTCCCCCCCACCCAGTACAGCGCTTCGTGGTCCCATAGTGAGCCCCACCGGAGGTCCCAGTGCTACCGTCCGCTTGCGTCCCCCCCGTCCAGAACAGCGCTTCGTGGTCCCATAGTGAGCCCCACCGAAGGTCCCAGTGCTACCGTCCGCATGCGTCCCCCCCACCCAGTACAGCGTTTCGTGGCCCCATGTGGAGCCCCACCGAAGGTCCCAGTGCTACCATCCGCATGCGTCCTCCCCCACCCAATACAGCGTTTCGTGGCCCCAAAGGGAGACCCACCGAAGGACCTAGTGCTACCGTCCGCATGCGTCCCGCACACCCAGTACAGCGCTTCGTGGCCCCATAGGGAGCTCCACCGAAGCCCCCAGTAATGGGACCGCCCGCATGCGCACTGGAAGCCCACTTTTGCATTTTCACCCACCCAGTACCGCGCTTCGTGGCCCCATAAGGAGCTCCACCGACGCCCCCACTGGGACCGCCCGCGTGCGTCCCGGAAGCCCAATTTGGCATTTTTTGCCCACCCAGTACAACGCTTCGTGGCCCCATACGGAGCTCCACCGAAGCCTCCAGTGGGACCGCCCGCATGCGTCCCAGAAACCCAATTTAGAGTTTTTGCACACCCAGTACACCGTTTCGTGGCCCCATAGAGAGCTCCACCGCCGACTCCAGTGGTACCGCCCGCTGCATTCCCCCCCCACCCAGTGCAGCGCTTCGTGGTCCCATAGGGAGCTTCACCCAATAAGATGTTAACAATTGCGGTACCCACAACTGCATATGGTTGGGTCCTTCGCGAGGGTAATTTTACAACAAAGCCCACCGGCAGGCCGATGGCGCAGGATGAGGAGAAGATACCCCCCAAAAAAGATCATGCCCTGCGTTGTGCGAATTGTTCAAGTCAAGCCCAATGCAGGATTACAACAATTTCAGGAAAAACAAATGGATTGCTTCAAATTGCTCGTTGTTAATGTTGTTGGTCCCAATTCCCACCGACACGCCGATGATGCAGGAGGCTGAGGGAAAATCCCCCCAACAAATATATCATATAAACATGGTATACTTGTATCATGCCGTGTGTTGTGTGGAAGATCTAAGGAAGAGTCAAACATAATTGCAAAACACAGGAAACCATTCGGCTGATTCAACGTATTCAATGCAGTTGATGCTTACTGGCCCCAATGCCCACCGACAGGCCGATGAGGTGGAGGAGCATTTCTCTTGGAAAAAGAAAACTTAATTCTAATAAGTTAAACCTGGTTCAACAATTTTTCAATTCGAACCCATTACACAATTACAGAGAACATATAATTTAAGTTGAATATACTTGCCCAAATTCGCACCGACAGGCCTATGATGCAGGCGATGCAAGGCGTGCTGATGATACTGTCTGGATTATCGCATAGGCGGCCAATACGTCGGCACCCATATAAAGCAACAGGAATTCCGAAGCGCGCGATTCAATCATTGCTTGAGATACGTAGTATCCTCTATTGATCTTCATTTGCCAGCGTTTTCGTCACATTACTCATGCCAGGGTTCTCTCGGATACAAGGCGCTGAGCCCACTTTCCCGTCGTTGGCTTCAGCAATAGTGCCCGCTGTTGCCAAATCTCTCATCTTCATGTTCACTCATTATGTTGGCCATCCTCCGCTTCACCAGCATCATCCTCATCTCACTCCCTTCTCTCATCCTCCTGGCATTCCTGTCCTCATCCTCTTCGTCCTCGTCCTCGCCCTCGTCCTCCTTCTCTTCGTCCTTGTCGTCCTCCTCATCCTCGTCCTCGTCCTCGTCCTCCTCGCCCTCCTCCTCGCCCTCCTCCTCCTTCTCTTCTTCCTCGTCGGAACCCCTCCCCCCCAGCATGTTCTCTATCACCTTCGTGCGTCTCCATTCTCTGTCGTGTCATTCGCATGGTCTTCCTCGTCTCCCGCCGTCCACCCTCCCTCGTTCGACCATTACCCTCCTCATCTCTCTCTCTCTCTCTCTCTCCATCTATATGTATATCGGTTATCCTGCCACCGCCGTCTTGCCGATTCTGTTCTGCGTTATTCATCATGCTCTTTCCTCCCCCCGTATGGCTTTCCGTAATTCCCCAATATCTTACACAATGCCTTCCTTCGCCATCCTTTCTATATTCTCTTCCGCCTCAATCCACGTGCCTCGCTCTCCATCACTCCGGATGTCCTATCTGTCCTTGGATTGCTCTTTTAGTGGTGCCTTCGACTTGCTCCACCCGTCCGTCTACCTCGGGCATTTTTGTCCGACCTTCTTGTGAGATTAGTCCTCATATGCCGCGTTCCCATGCGGCCTCGGATTCGTATCGGCACCCTCCTCAATCGCGTCGTGGCCACTGAGGGAAACCCGCCGGAAACCCCGGTGATTGCGCCCGCGTGCGGCCTCGGATCAATGTCGGCACGCCCTCACGCGCTGCTTGGCCCCATACGGGAGCTGAGGCGAAGGCCCAAGGGCGTCGTTTGCTTGGCCAGGCTAGATGTTGTTACGTAGCAGCCCCCAAGTCCGGATAAGAGTGAGAGGGCGGGCGCGGCCGACGGAACACCGAAGAGCCAACGCAAAAGAGCCCGCTGCAGGCGTTCATGTTGTCTTTAAAGCAACCAACGCACTCGGCGTCACCAGGTGGGTCGCGGAGTGGGTCGCTTCGGGTGGACCGCGGGGTGGGTCGCGGGGTGGGTTACGGGTGGGTCGCTGT